GTGTTTATGGAAACATCTGTACCACAGTGTTTATGGAAACATCTGTACCACAGTGTTTATGGAAACATCTGTACCACAGTGTTTATGGAAACATCTGTACCACAGTGTTTATGGAAACATCTGTAAAATGATTTGGAGGTTTAATGTCAGATAAGATTCACGCACATCATCATCATCATCTCCTTGTAGCTCAGTTTGACCCCCCCCCCTTCTATTTCTGTGCCATGAACAAAAGAAAAATGTATAAAAGCCTAAAATCACAGTTTCCTGGGATCTGTGCAATATTTGATGCTAACTGTCATGTTGTTGACCAAACTGTATATTGTAAAAACAAGTGACAAGTTGTTTGAAAGCAACAAAATCACCACTGTCTTCCATTAAGAAATGTATAGACTCATGTTAGCTGCTTGTAGCAGTGATGCTAACGTTACTGTAGCCATGCATGACCAGTAGTGATGCTTGCTTCATCCACGATATCTGTTGTTGGAGGCTAAGATGGAGCTGAAAACATGACAAAAACCTGAGGATYAGATTAATAAACTTATGTCACATTCTGTTAAAACCATTTAGACCTAAAATATAACCTTGTTTTAAAGCTTCAGTTGGATAATGTTCATGTTTTTAAAGTTGTTTCAGTGAGATGTTATTAGATGTTCTTTAAAGGAACGTAAGGTGCAACAAGCAGAACCTTCAGAACGAACACGTCTGATGATTGGAGAACATTAAGAGTTTTAGCCCTAAAATGAAAACGTCACATGACACACTGTTGTACATATTTCATTCTATTTTAATCCACATAATTGTATTTGATTAGAGCTTTAGAAGCAATAAAAATAATATTGCATGAGTTTATTTCCAGGTGTTAATGTGTAACAGATAAAATCCTCCCCCCTCTAAAGAACATTGTGTTTGCTACTAATTTTCTTTAGGCTTTAAAATACTTGTTATCTCAACTGGAACAGGTCCGAGGCTTTAAATCAAATCCATGTAGCATTTTTAAAGCACCCATTCTTCCAAATGACAGTGTTTTAATAAGTCAGGCTGAGAACTTATTATTTCCTGACTCATTGTTGTCATCAGATGTGTTTTAGAAACCATGTGACGCTGTTTCTGCTGATTTCTCCTCCCAGTTTACGAGCCAGTAGATGTTCAGATGGAGTTTAAAAATATGCATGGACTATCAGAATATTGAATGAACTGTATTGCATGCAATAATCCTTGTAATGTGAAAGAGTGTAAGTGTGTGTTTGACACGACAGCGTAGCTGCAGGAGGACAGATGTTGACCTGGTGGAGTCTGTAGGAACTATGCACTCCAGATGGAGAAAACAGGCATGTTTATTATGTGTGAGCCTTTCGTCTGCTTTTGTAAAACCTTAAAAAATCTGTATCAGAAACTCAGCAATAAAATGCAGCATGGTGCCAACTGAATGTTACTGTTTGTTGTCATTGTTTGAATGTGGTTTCATACAGTGAAATGTTTGTTTGATGGACCCTGCAAAGATTGCAGAACCACCTCCTCTCAACAAGTGTGTAGGTTTTTCATACGTTGGTACTCCTCTATGAATGACTGGGAGAAAACACTGAAATAACTTCAAACTGATTAAATTAATAACAGACCATTAAAATCACATGTTGCTTGTTCATTTTGGTGCAAAATAATTATTTAGAAAATCAAACTAATGAAGTGGGTTTTGACAAACATGATGTATCTAACTTCAGATTTTGTCGCACAAACTTTTTTTTTTTTTGATGGCCTCCCTTCTCCCCCTATAGCCATCCTCTCCACACCAATATTATGTATTTTTTTAATAATAGG